CTCCAAGACCCAGCTTTTTAAACACTGACAGGGGCATCAAGTTGATGCTAGCTCCAATGTCACACAGTACTTTATCAAGCGCAATACCACCAATAATGCAATGAATGGTGAAGCTACATGGATCTTTCAATTTCAAAGGAAGCTTCTTCTGGAGAATGACACTACACTCTTCTATCAACTTAATTGTCTCAAACTCCTCAAGTTTCTTCTTCGTTGACATCACTTCCTTCAAGAACTTGGCATAGTTAAGCATTTGGGCTACAAAAGGAATGTTGAAGTGGATTTTCATGAAAACCTCCAGCAATTTCACAAACTGCTCATCAATTTTCTTCTTCATGAATCTCTGTGGAAATGGTAGTTGTGTCTTCAAGATGGGTGGATTGTCTGGGAATGAGATTGAGTAAGGCTTATGAGTCTATTTTGTTGTCTCTGCTACAGTCTTCTGTTCTTCAATCAGCTTCTTCCCTTTGAGAATGGGATCCAATGTAAGCACCAATGTTTCTCTAGGCTTGCTGTCTTCAACTACACTTTCATTCCTTTATGTAATGGCATTGCAGTGTTCCCTTAGGTTAACCTAGGTGTCATTGGGGAATGTTCCTTTCTGTTGGGACTGTAATACAGTTGCTATCTGACCAATTTGCACCTCCAAATTCTTCACCGTGGCTCCCATGATGGTCATATGTGACTAGCTATTGTCAAGTCTAGACTCATCTTTGTAGAAATTGAACCTAGTCTCTGCAATGAAGGTTCCCAATATATCCTCNGACCAATTTGCACCTCCAAATTCTTCACTGTGGCTCCCAAGTTGGTCATATGAGTCTCGATGTTGTCAAGTCTTGCCTCGTCCTTGTTAAACCTCGATCTAGTCTCTGAAATGAAAGTTCCCAAAATATCCTCCAATGATGGTTTTCGCTCAGAAGCCTGATTATTGAACCCCTGATAGTAGTTGTTTCCAGAGTAGTTCTCCCTTTTGTTGAAGTTCCGGTCGTTAACATAATGAACTTGTTTATCATACCTTTCTGCCTCCTGGTACGTAGTGGATGCAGCTATAACAAATTCTGATTTCTTCTGAGTTCCTTGTGATGTTAATGCCGCTAATTGAGATGTAAGAGATGACAATGGGCTGGAAAGGTTGTAATAGGATCCACTTCATGACGACTAGCTATTTTCCTTGCATTTGATAGCTATTAGTAGCTATCTCATCTAGCAATGAATAAGCCACATCCGGAGTCTTGGATATTAGAGTTCTTTCTACTGCAGAATACACTATTGTCCTTGTTTGGTCATTCGGCCCATTGTAGAAGAGCTTGATTTGCACCCAACTCTAATAACCATGCTAAGGACATCTTCTAAGTAGATCTTTGAACCTCTCTCACACCTCATAGAATGGTTCGAAATCTACTTGTTCGAACTGACCAATTTCATTCCACAATTGAGCTGCTTTGGAAGGTGGAAAAAATTATGTGAGAAACTTCTGAGCTAACCCCTCCCAAGTTGTTATGGATCCGTAAGGCAGTGATTGGAACCAGACATTGGCTTTTCTATATCGTGATTTATGCTACAAATATATGGTGTCAAGTTTTGTAATATAATAATGGAGTTAGAGTGTCGAACCCACAAAAATTGTAATTCAATTTTCTACTAAGTACTATAATTATATAGCTTCCATTTTATCTAGATGAATGAATTTTATAATCAATTTTTTTTTTAAACTTATATGGTGACGAATTCAACAAATAAATGCAAGTTAGAAGAATAATCAAGTGAGGAAGTCTAGGGTTATGATTTCACCTAATTGTCAAATATGATTCTCAATTATATAATTATTTTTAATCAAATTTTCAAAATTTATAAGTAAGAACACTAAAGTAATTTTACTCCCTCTCTCGAGTGCCGAGTAAAAATTATTCATATAATTCAATTCCAATATCTCTATTCC